CATATTTAACATCGGTTTAAGTGTTTTTCTTCTTCTTGTGTGTTTGGAGTACTATGTGCAACATTTTTTTCTTTGTTTAGTTGACTAAGAAATTAGTTGCCAGGATATTATAACAGCAATAGTACATTAAGTTCTTACAATGTGAAAAACACACCACAAACCATGATTTTCTTCAAACTTTTGTTTTAGCAGGATGGCAGGTGAGACTTACTTCGGGAAGGTTCGGCTCCGTAGCTCCCTAACAAACTGTGCGCTCCCTGTCTTAACAGGCTTACTTGGGTCTCTTCCTCCAGTGGCACCTCCATCTACTTGCTTATTGCCTCCCCGGCGTTTGCGCACTAAGAAAATGGAGAAAACAGTTTTCAACCTGTACGTTCCTATGAAAAAGTAACTAATAATAACACCAACCCTGAGAGTTTTACTTAAGAAATGTTAACTTACTAACAGAAGGCCCATGAGTGACCTGACAGTTGGGGCAGTGGTACAGGTCAATCTCAGCCGCTTTGTCTTCCTCTACTCCAACACAGCTACACAAAAAGCATACTTATATCAAAACAAAGAATGGCTCCATTACCCAATATAGACACAGAAATTTTACAGTGAAGACAACAGATGTAACCACATCATAAATCTAATAAAGTGGGTCAAAGCACAAAAACATCCTACCTTCCATGAAACCAGTCTTGACAAATGTCGCACTCTATCATGAAGCGTGTCACATCATACGGCAGACGACACAGACAATACACGGGCACTGATGCCATGTTCAGTGTGTTTTTTTTGCAAGATATTTATGTAAAATATTTTCAAATCTAATGGAAACGAGTGAGGAGAGACTAATTAATCAACAAAAGGAATTATTATTTATGTATTAATGGTAAGGCTGGTGAAATCTGTCACTTCACGTTCAGATTCTTCTACTTGATGCACATGTCCAGAGGTTTACTTGAAAACCTGTTAAAATAAAGGGAAAAAAGAAAAACAAAACAAAACTTGTTAGCAGCTCACCATAATGACCCCACACTCGCTAGTAGAGAGCTGATTAGAGCAACATATAAATTCTGTTCCCGTCATAAGGAATAAGTTTAGTCGTTTACTTGAATGATCAGCATTTTGTTTCGGTGGTACATGAATTAATGAGTATCGGTGCATATTGGTCAAATACTAATCTTTGCAGATAAGCTCAGACTCATCCCGGACGAAAATTCAAGATCGCTTCTGCTCAACAGCTGTTAACGCTAACGTTAGCTCCGTTTGTAAACACTATGCATAGTGAATGTTGCGCTGCTAGCTTTATCAACGCACTTATACATACAGCAAGTAGGCTAACGCTAACGTTAGCCGCGTTAGCAAGCGATGTAGTTAGAGAAGAAAATTATTTGCCAAGATGTTAACTTAAGCAAAAGTAGCTACGAAGCGTGAATGAACCCTTATATGTATCTGATGCAGCTAGTATATTTCAGCCAGGAAAACGTCGTTGCTGGTTAAGACGTTTGGATTTTTCTTTCCACGATAGCAACTCACCAAAATGTAGCTGCGGCTGGGCCAACTATTGAAAAGCCGTTGTAATCCCTACGCAAGCTCGGGGTTAGCTGCGGCCTTATTATGCAACGTAAAGTATTAACAATTTGCTTCACCACATTTTTGCTTATCAACTTTGTAATGCCCAAATATAAAGGCCAGGTCCAGAAATTCACAATGGACCAGAAAATTGTAGCACGAAGCGACCTAAACTAACAAAACAACAACAAATAACATCGTATTTAACTGCATCGACGCCATTTCAAAGGTAGTAACGTCAGACCGTTGTTCGTCGTTGTCTGCCGTGGCGGGGACAATAAAGTTGTAGACAGTCAAAAATTGAGTTGCGTTCAGGAAACTACGTTATGGTGCGGAAATTTAGTTCTATGCGTCAGGAGACGCTGCAAACATCTATTTTTGCCGTCATCTCATAGAAACAGAAATGTACTACATAATTATCAGCATGCGAGTGCATACGATTTGTCAAATAACTGCACACTCTCATAACGTTTAATTTTATTTTTTTAATCTCTTTTCCTTTCACACTTTATGTCAGTCAGAATACAAACTATAATTTGAAACGGATATTTCTTTTCAAGTAAAAATAAATAATTATTGCCAACGTTGAGTAACCTGATTTTATAATTTAAAAAGTTTGTATTTACGTCATTATTTTTCACGTTGTCATTTTATTGAACCCGTGTTAAGAAATGTAAACCACACACATCGGTCTATGAGTGCAACTGGTGGAGTGTCGTGATCAGGATTGTGATTCAAGTGTACATATATTTTATAATTCAATTATCTTTTTCTCTTTTTAATTTGCCTAAGGCCCTTCATCACTTATGAAATTTATTTATAAAAAATGTTTTTATTCCCTGGCACTCTTTCTCACATCCTGGCATTATGAGTAACAGCGATTCCAGGTCAGGAATGCACCGAAGGTCAAGTGGTGTTATCTGCTGTGATCTGTGAGGCTCCTCTGGAGAATGGAGAAAAACGTCCGGCACTAACAGATATATATACACTGCCAGTCAGACTAGCAGTTTGGATACACCTTCTCATCTACATTGTAGATAAATAACGAAAACATCAAATACATGAAGCAAGACATATGGGAGATATGTAGCACAAAAAAAAGATAAATAATTATATTATGTTTTATATTTTAGATTCCTGAAATTAGCAAGTCTTCGCTTTGTTGACAGCCCTGCAAACCTTTGGCCTTCTCTAAATGAGCTTCTCTAAGTGAGAGAATGTCAAGGGGGTGCAGTAATCAAAGGAAAGAGTGGCTATTTTGAAGAATCTAAAATATAAAACATGTTTTGACTTTTTACACTTTTTTGTTTACTATATGATTCCATATCTGTTCATTCAGTTTTGAGGCCTTCAGTGGGAATCTACAATGTAAATAGTCATGAAATTAAAGAAAAAAACTTTTGATTGGCAATGTAGCCCAGGTTTTACTTGTTTTACAAATGATTATTGTGTTTTATCATCATAATAACACATATATAAGCATATATATGAACATCCCACGTGCCCAGTGAACTTACGGTACAAATAAACCTCCTATACACTGGTGTCATTTGATGTTTGACATCATTTATTTTGATTAGTTACAAAACATAAATAAAATCAACAGATGAATTCGTTAGAATTTACAGAGGCTAAATCACCCGCAACATACATTATTCCTTTAGTTTTCTTTTCTGCCCAAATGTACTTTTTAACCATGGTTCTCAATTGTGCCATTTTGGGAGCCCCCAGATTTTCTGTTTAATTTGTATTAATTTAATTTTAATTTAATTTAATGTGACCTAAAGCTCAGTGGGAAGGTGAGGTGTCATTACTTTATGTACCATCTGGGCTGCAGTGGTTCAAAACTAAAATATGATGGCAAAATAACCAAAAATGATCTGAATATGATCCGGAATGAGCTTCGCCTGTCAGAGTTAAAGCAAGACAGGGAGTCCCACGTAAACATGGATGAAAACCAGTTTTCTAGTTTCAAATAACCTCTGATTTGTAGCGGGGAGAACACAATTTTACAATTTGTACAACCTCATTCCAAAATACAAAAATAATCTTTGTCTTTTCGATAACATTTTGGTAACACTTCAAGGACAAAGTCAGCTTCTCTTCATGAGTCATAATCATTAAGCTGTAGCTTGTTAGATGCATGTTAGTATCAGACATGACAACACACACACCTCCACTAATAATGAACTACAGTACATCTCTGTGAAAACGTGGGTAGTCTTGAAAAGCAACACATACTGAGTACTGTAAATTTATATTCTAGATTATGCCGCTTCTGAACAACCATACCACTTGGCATGAACTATTCCTCTTAACCACTCGTGTTTCATGCCTTTGATTTACATTTAGCAGTCTTTGTCTGTTAAATCACCTGTTTTCTGTGGCACACAATCTATTATTAATAAATCAGAAATACCGCTTTGACTACTGGCTATTTATTAGACCAAAAAAATGTATTAACACCTAACCATCGATGGTCTAATGTGTGTATGGCTGATAAGCTGTCAGAGTGTACGGTAATATATCTGCTGGTGATATATTACTCTGAATGTCTGCATCTACAAAATGAGTTAAGAAATCAAGAAATGAAGGATGTTTGACTCGAGTAAACCTTTAGTTGTGTGCGTAAAGCACAGTGGCCCACATTTCATCTTCTGATCATTGAATTCAAACAGGCTATATTTAATAATTAAATGCTCACAATTAAAACAAGGAATTTGTACAATGCCAAACAAAGCTGACACATGAGCATGTGAGGATCTCACATTGGTGTTGAACATCAAACTTAGAACTGGTGTATGACTGAAGAGCTCACTTGTTTTGTTTCTGTTGTTTTCCTTTTCTTCTTCTTCTTCTTCTTTTTTTTTTTTTAGAAAGTAAGCCTAAAACATAGGCAGCGTAAACAATTCCACTTGAATACAGTGACATTTGAGAGGCTGCTTTGATGCATGAATTAATGCAATATACCAGGACTATTACAACACTTTGTCACACAGAAAAAAATAAACTCACACGCTCACAAAAATGCAGTATCTTTAGAAAAAGGCAATATGAGAATACCTTTATAATTTAGTTAATGATAACTTGGCAGTTTTTTTTCTTTTCCTTTTAAATCGTCCTCTTCAGCACTGGTATAGATGATATGCAGCAGAAATAAAGGAAAATGTCAAATGTGAAATCATATCATGTTGAAAGCAAATGTATATGACTTGTTACCTCAATGGGCTGCAAACAGTAACTGTGAGATTCATGAATATACAGCAAGTGCAAGCAGTTTGCACTAGGCGAGTCAAGCCGGCCATAAAATCATGCAGTCCTGGGTCGAAGGCACCCAAATATTTACTGAACAGAGATGGCAGATTTGAATTTACCATCATATTATGTATTCATCTGGTCATATTAATTTTGTTACAAACATAAAACAATAGAAAATCAAGCACATGCTGTACAGGTACACGACACCTCGACAGTGTGTTTGTTTGCACTGCAGTTAAATGGATAGCCGGATAAGTGCTGACCTCTGAAACATGCTGCTGTCAGGTTGGGGTTTTTTTTCTGATTGCATTTGAAACACTTGATCTGTAGGCTTACAGTTTTAAAATATGCTGAACAAAATCCCCTATGCATCAGGTATTAATCATTGTGCTTCTACAAAAATATTTTATGCCTTAAAGACAAATGAAAACAATACGTGCTGATCAATTTAGATGATCATTACTAATTGCACTTTTAAAAATTGATAGTCCTTTCACTGTAAGCGTTGACAAATCCAAAGAAAAATGTCAACGCCGTCAAATATTTTGTCCTTCTCGTCTCTGCTTAGGGAGATTTCAGGTCCCGCTGAGTTGGTTTGCAAACAAAAACGTTAATGTTATCTTGTGTCCAAAGACAGAAGTGATATGTACTCAAATAATCCACCCACACTCATAAATGCACACACTCATACATCAAAGACTTTATACAGCTCAATACTGATTCAGAAACCCCAGCCATGCTCCACATTACCCTCTGCCTGTACATACTACAACCTATCACCTTTCTTTCACATTCATTTCCCATCACATCCACAAGTACACTAGAACCCATATGTCATTGCAGTCACAACTCTCGCACACGTACACAGAACTAACGCTCTAAATGGATCTGCTTTACGTCCATCTCTTGGACCTTCATATTGGCCTCACACTTCACCTGGTTTCATTTCTGTCCCAGAGGAAGAGTAGAGGTGGGGGGTGTTTGGTGAATTTTGGCACTGGTAGGTAGAGCAGCAGTAGAGCACGATGAGGAACAGGTGGAAGAGGGTGAGGAGCAGGAGCAAAATGCCCCACCAGCAGCAGCAGCAGCAGCGCTATCTGTGGGTGCAGCGGTACCACTACCAGGCAGCAAAGATGTAGCTGTGGACACTGGTGATGTGGGCATTTGGGAAGGCAGCAGCGGTTGGCTTTGAGGCTGGGCGATGGGTGGTGTCTGTGATAAAGACTGAGACTGCATGGGAGTTTGCATCAGGGGCTGTGGTATCTGCTGGCAGAGTTGGGACTGTGGATAGCTAATCTGCTGGAGGGGGAGAGACTGATGAAGGTGTAAACTTTGCTGCATCTGCGGGACTTGAGCCATGTGTGTTTGTGGTGGAGGTCCTGGAGAGTGCAGGGTGGACAGGCTTCCTCCACCCGTGTAATGGGAAGAGGGTGCCACAGTCAAACTGGCAGGGGTTGTGGGCGCCTGTGCCACTGGAAACCAACCTGGGGGAGCCACCTGCACAAATATAGCAGTAAACACTTAGAGAGTATGACTACAATAACAAAACAAACCTTTTGCTACTGTTGGCTCAAGAAACTGTCGAAAACTCTTAAAGCTTTCTGACTTAGTTGTATCATCGTCACCAAAAACCATGAAGAATTGTTTGGTAATTCAACATCACACTCAAAAAAGATTTTTTTTCCTCTCATAAACAATGAGCCACAGTTTTCAGTAAAATGCATTTGAAATATATAAAGTTTATTTATCCAAATAATTAATTATTAAGAAAGATAAGCCTGATATACCAACAACACTTTTCATGTGTAGTCCTACCTCAGTTCCCTGGCTCCAGCCTCCCAACTCCTGCACCTGCTGAATCTGCTTAATTTGATTCAGTGAAGGCTTAGGCGGGGTGGTGCTCACCGTCTCCTTTGTCCAATTATCAACAAGTTTGTGCAGCTCGTCTGTGAATGTACTTTTTCTTAGAGGACTGTGATCTGTGGAAAAACAAGGCGACTCGTTATGGCACCAACTGACATTAATTATGGTATGCTGACCCGATTTTTGTAGCACTACTAGGATAAACCGTACCTCTTTTAGCAGGTAGCGTAGTAAGGTGCGCTGGCTTGCAGTACAGTGAAAGCCTATTCTTTTCACTACCCGAAAAGCTGCTTGACTGCTGAATCCCTGGATGAGACATACAAGACAGTTTCGCAGAGAGCAAATATAAAAAAACAAAACAAGAAAGTGAGGAAGAAATAGTAAAAGCCTCACCAGCATGTGTAACTCCATTGTTGTCTACGTGAGAGTGAGGCCTGGGCCGAAACTTTGTTTTGGTTGGCCTGGGCCTGCGAGGTGAGAGGGCAGGGGGCGCTGCAGGAAGAGGAGGGGTACGAGATAGGGAGGCAGGCAGACTCTGTCTTTGGTCTTTGAGGGAACGAAGCTGTCTGTACAGCTCCTGGAGCTCTCTGTTCTGCTGAGCCTGAAGGGAAACCACCTCTTTGATGTGCCTACAGAGAAAGAGAACGGTTATGAACTGTGGGAAAGAAACAAAAATAAACGGAGACACAAAGAAGAAAATTCAATAAACGGAGAGGCAAAAGTCTTGTACAATAATAAAACTTCTTTCCCTTGTTGACTTACTTTTCTCTGAGCTTGTGTAATTCTTTCCGCAGGTCTTCATCCTCCAGCTCACTCTCATCATCATCGTCACTGCTTCCAAGGGGTGAGTGGCTGTGGCCAGGACCTCGAGCAGCGTGGGCCATTGATGGAGTTCTCTTACTTTCTTCTTTATCTCCTTCCTTTGCCCGAGATTTCCTCCTCTCCCTCACCAAATCAGGAGACACTGGCGAGCTGTCAGTCTGCCTGTCATCTTTCTTAGTCTCAGTCTGGGTCACAGAGAAACGGCCAACTTTTCTGTGAGTGCCACCATGGCCCGATGGTCGATCCTTTGGAGGAGAGGTCTGGGGCACTGGAGTCACCTGGTGATTAATAATGTGGGAAATCGTCATTGCTTGTTTAGACCAGGGCTGCAACGTTTTGTCGGCATAATTCATGACTCAACTATAAAAATTAGTTGATGCGAAATTTTACTGTCAACGCTTCATATGCTAATACCAAGTAAATGTGTTTTTGTAACTGCAATACACTCCAGGACGCTATGGGGGAAGGATCACCTATATCGTCTGCCAAGACTGCAGACAATACTAAGGAAAAAGAATGTGGTGCGAACTGCAAAACAGGAGGTCAGCAGAAAATGGAAACAGATGAAAGCATTTCACAGAAAACAAGCAAAGTTAAATGCAGGCTGTGCAAAGCGGGGCTTTCCTTTCACAACAGCAATACTGCCGTGCACGAACATTTAAAAGGCCGGCCTCCTGGAGCTGTGACATCAACTCTGAATGGGTCAGTTTTAGAAAGTTAAGTTAGTTCGTCACACTGATACCTTGTTTATGTAAATGTTCGTACTGTCATGTTTATGTTAGCTTAACTGTCAGAAACTTCTCAGGATGATGCTTGCTAAGCGTTTCCTGGGTCATTATTTTGACCCGGAAACATATGAATATGAAACATTAATCGATGACTAATCAACTAATCAAAGAAAAACTGGCAGATTAGTCGACTACCAAATCTTTTGTTGCAGCCCTAGTTCAGACTGCCCCAAAGACTGAGACTAACAAGAATCAGCTAATGTGCTCCTACCTGAAAACGTCCTTTAAAAGGCTGCGGTGGATTAAGTGGTGCTCCTGCCTTTCCATCTTTAAACAGCTGACTGCTTGAATCTGCTTCTGATAATGAGAAAGGGATGAAAACAAAAGGGATAGACAAGGACAAAGGTACAAAAACACAAACACACGTATAAAAACACACAAATGATGATACAGACATACAAGAAAGGAACAGAAACAGAAAAATGCACATGACAGTGAGACATACAAATGCAAAAGGACAGACACGGAGAACAAATACAAAGGCACAGTGTTAAGAATTGGCCATTCAAATCACAGGACATCGTGACTTCTTTAACATGCATGCAAGTCTGTAAACTGTGTAAAGATACTTTCTGTGGATGTCAATTTTAAAATGAGGTCTTTGTGAATTTAAAGTTGTTAAAAAAAACTTCGTGAGGTGTGGGGAGTAGTGGTAAATGCATTCATTAAAAGCAAAAACATATTTTAAAATACCAGTTAAATACAGTATAGCCCACCCACACATCCACTCTCTCATTCTCACCAAGTCATCACTGCTCCACCCACTCATTAGACAATGTAGCCCAATATCACATTTAAGATCTCTGTCAGAGCAACAGTGATATTGGTCAGTGTGTTTGATGTTTGGGATTACGACATTAGAGTGTATACATGGATCACCACAGCCATTTTTAAGGGAAAAATAAAACATAAAAATCAACATAAAATATATACAGCCTGGTATATGTGTTACTTACAGGTAATGGTCCATTATTAGTCACGCGTGTAGAACATAACATACATGCTCATGCATGTGCTCTTGTAACAGAAGATCTAAGCTACTGCTACACACTTTACACACATAAACACGATTACATGCAAGATGACTGGAATACTTGAAAAGCATGATGGAAAGCCTAAACGTGTGCAAAAGAGCCCGGCAGTAACTTACAATCCTTTGGTAATGCACACACTGTATTCTAACATTCTTCACTATATATTTTACACTTACTTCACTACAGCTACATCATATATTATTGTTTTGGAGCAGTGCTACTGTGTATGAGTTTACAGGATAAGCCTATATGTATTCTGAACTACAAACAATTACATAACATCGGCTTGGTAACTTAGCATCTATGCTAATTACATAACATCGGCTTGGTAACTTAGCATCTATGCTATCGGCTTGGTAACTTAGCATCTATGCTAATTACATAACATCGGCTT